ATATATAAAGCATATTTAATAAATCCCTGAAAGATTCTTCAAACCTTCAGGAATTGACGTCGTACACAAACCAACAAAGTCGCTTCACTCAATTCTATGTCAACCAAAAGACTCAACAGCGAAGAAAGATAAAACCAACATCATCTACAAAATAAATTGTAACAACTGCGAAAAACACTACATTGGTCAAAGTGGACGTCCCCTTCGTCTTCGTATCCACGATCATAAGTTAGCCGTCAAAAGACAAGATTTCCACTCCCTCATATCACTACACACAAACAACCACGGACATCAATTCGACTGAAACAACCAACGTTCAAATATTAGACAGAAGAAATAACAAAAATGCTAGAGAATTTTTAGAAGGTTGCCTAGTATTCCAGTGAATCATCAATCGATAGACACATCGAGATAGACAAAATTTATCAACCAATAAGAAAGAAACTTCACACACAAAGGGTCAAAGTTCAAGTCAAAGAAACAATCAGTTCCAATACAAGTAACCTAGAAGGTATGAAAACACACAAAAACAACCAGTCACGTCCAAGGTCACCAGGAGAGATGATTAATAAACTCGTGGAGAAATCTAAAAGCTCACTTCAAACTGAAGTATGCGCTGAAGATGTCACCCAGTAGGGTGATGAAAGCTTCGCAAATCAACCATGCAGCTCAGAGAACACAACTACATCAAAATGATAAAACTTTCTTCTCCGAGTTAAATAGTTTTATTGTGAAGATTTTACTATCTTTTTAGACACCATCTTCAGGGCACACACTCTAATATGAAGTGGTTTTCTTTGCCGTTAAAGAAAGTGAAGGCTTCACAATTACATCGCCCCAAATTATAGGATACAAGTACATTGAAATCGTTCTGTATGAGCTATAGATCACCTTCGTTCTTTCATAGTCATTATTTGAAACACCTAGGGAAATTGTTGACCGACTTTATTTAAGATTATGCAAAATAACCTTTATATTTACAATGAATGTTAACTGTTAACCTTAAACTTTATTTGAAATATTCTATATCAGTACATGACACCTCGCTTCTTATTTTTCAGGCAACATAATCCATCCAGGATAGAAGTAAAGTGTGAAGTTTCACAGGTAATTTTGCAAAAAGCACTATACATTTAAAAATTACTTTCTCTCTCAGATTTTCATGTGAAGAAGGGTGGACTGTGACGCCTAGACTAAAATTGAAACATACGTGAAGGAAAATCTACACTTATAAAGCAGCAGAATCATTACAAAAATGTTACAGTCCAACCTGAGGATGCATATATATACAATTCCTCTGTTAAACAAACAAAATTCGCCATAATACCCACTGGAACATGAAATTTTAATGCAGTATTGTCGTAAACAGCAGAGATTGAAGTCCATCTACAATTTCTATGATTAATCACAAAATATCTAAGGTGATGAATAGTTTTTTCACGGCTAGTTATATCTGGGTGGTCGTTTTAGCGAGTAAAACTGTCATTTAAACAATTTATGGATTGTGTTTCTGATTAGTGTGGAAAAGCTGACATTTTAACAGCAGTTTCCCACGCATACGTTTTAAATATCATCAAATGTATCTTAATGGATGGACAGGAGTATACTCAGTAATTTTGAAATATTTGGGATGATATTAGTTATGTGTTATGGCTGTGCACGACCTCATAAACAATATACTTTACAAAATTCTGAATATTCATCACACTCAACTTTTATATGACTGAAAAATTGTCATTTATGATTAGACGTCAGTACACTTTGGTTTATCGTCTCACAATAAATTGTTAACTGTGTGCAGTGATAAACTCTAAGACGAAGCTTCCAACAGTCTCATTAGTTTGGTAAACACTTTGAACTGATTCCTTATACTCGTATGAAGTCAGTTTATTTGGTTTTGTTCTTGAAAAGATATAGTTTATCAGGAGTTAAAAATAAAATAGGTCCAATCAGAACATGTGATAGATCTTAATACACCCATATTTACTTTAGAAGAGTGCCAGTCTAATAAAATATTAGATGCATAAAGCACAGATCCTAATTTATACAGAATGCTTACAGATGTATCCCATTAACAGAGTCTGTTTCCAACAGGCTGCAGACTTTTATCAGCAGCTGAATTTGCTAGCTCCATAGTGAAGACCGATTGGCGAGAAAGAACTAACAAATCAAGAATCTCTTGCTAGGCAAATATGCCAATGGAAGATGAAGATGGATCAAACGCACACTGAGGGGACTGTTGGGCAACTCTGCACTAGGGCATCGAATGGCACCGAATGAGAAACGACAAGTTGGACGTGAGTTCTAAGGTGATATGAAGGAGATGACAGCATATAGGCAGTTGTGTTGTCAGCTACAGAGGAATACAGAGAATATGACAAAGTGGGAATGTGTTGGTGAGGCTCCGTGTTCCACTGAGAACCCAAAAGGGAATTATAATGGTGTGTTATCATGTACACGTCACACTGAATTTTTGAAAATACTTAGTTACACCAGCATACACTTCACGGATAAATCTTATGTGAATATTATCACAGACTGCAGTTACTCTAAGTTAACTACAAGTGCATATGTAGTGAGAGCTGGCTGTTAGTCGAAATTGGTGAACAGTAATTTACGTCAATGTTTATGTCCCCAATATTGGTCGTGAGGAAAATGAGAACAAACGCTTTGAGTAGGCGGATGCAGTTAACATATAGATGATCTGACATTCAAGAAGCAGCCCAAGAAATTCAAGGTTAGTTTTCTGTGAGAAAAAACCAATCAGAAGATTGCGTTTTTCTGCTAACAATAATCTATAATAATGTACATGAAAATCTATAAATATGTGTTGATTTCTTTAATAAACGATCTGTTTCCTGGCCCTTGTCTTCTGTTGTTACACATTTATGTTCTGTTCTAAGCGTAACAAACAATGATAATTCTAGGAGTCTCAATGAAATTAATCAGAATGTTGTATAAAATAATAATTATTAAATTGTCAGATCGTAGATCTCACAATTCCTGTTTTTCTTTCTTACCAGTGACGTCATTCAAATCATTTTATGCATTTGTTAAGTGGAAAAACGTTACTGGCGGTACATTGACAGCAGGATATTATTTAGTCGTCGTTGCGTAATAATTATTAATGATGCTGCTTAATAACAATGGCACCATAAACAAACTAGACTACAGTGCCTGCATAATACTTACGGTTAATGTTTCCAATTGTTCTTTGATGAAAGGCTGTTTAACAAGCTCGACCTGGTTTATATAATTTTCAAGATGTATATTTAGATATTTTAATACATCTGAAATTCAGTTGACAAGTCAGGGGATAGAAAATCAAACTACATCTTCCGTTCCACCAGTAGCTGAACAAACAGTGGGGTGCTACGAACTAGCTTTACAGAATCTTCATAAACCAGTCAATTTCTCAGCAACCACAACACAGTGTTGAATAAAAGTATTTTTCTATGAAAGACAACCCTGCATAACACACAAAGGTTGCAAAAGGCTATTGGAAGATGATTTTACGAAGTGTTCATTCTTGAATCTTTTACTTCAAACAGACCGTTAGTCAATTAGTGTGAATAGGCACAATCAGATGGACATATCGATGAGAACACTGCACAAAATATTGGTGAAACGAATGCGTTTATTGTAGGAGGAAGTCTATTCAAGTACAAATTCTTAGCCCAACAGTAATGAGTGATCATTTCAGGCGGTGAACCGATTATAGTGGCAATGCAGTTTGTCATAAGACAATAGAGATTCTCATGCATGTTGTAAGTGCATGATAATACAGTATCGTCATTTTGTGACACAAATCTTGGAAAACTTAGTATTTGGATCAATTTTCTGTTAACAAATATTTGAATATAGAAGCTGTGTACAATCTCTTCGTAAATAAGGCTACATGCTTCCAATCAACGAAAGACAGTCGAGTCTACTTATGGCGAAGGAGAACATTTTTACATTGCGACACATCCGGTTATGGTAGTGCAACATAGTGTACAAGGTCAATAAGGTCGATTTCCCGGAAATCTCCTCACCTATGACTACATTAACTCAGCAAACGAAAGAACTTCTCCAACTTAATAAAATACTGAAGATAATTCCGCCAAGTCTTCTGACGAAGTATTTCCGGTAATATATCAGGATCAGTGGTGTACTAAATGATTCGGTCAAAGTGAATAATTAATCAGATTCCGTGTTAAAGGCAATGGTTAGAAACATTCGAAAAGATGAATGAATATATTAGGATGTAGCACACAGAAGGTTACCCATGATTTTGTAGTTTTAGGTGATAGGTGACTTCAAAAATCTTTGAAGGAAACCAATTACACCAAAGGTCATTACGATAGACTGTTATGCTATTTATGAAGGACTATTGAAGTTCATTTCTTAAAAGAATTGGTGGATGACAGTTAAATCTTTGCAATTAAACCATCAACATTTACACAACCTACAAGGCTTCCCCATCATTTCACGGTTCATCTCAGCTATCTTAACAATCAGATTTATTTTGTAAGACATCCTTTCTATATGTGATAAAATTATGAAGTTATTTCTTAACCTTGTCCTGATTACCAGTCACATTTGCATACGTTCTCCCCCTCCCCCCATGTCCTTGGTACTACATGTAGATGTTCTGAAGGATATTCACTGAGCATTAGCATATGCCTAAATCCTTTGATTTGTTAATTAAACTGTCAACTAAATGAATCCGACATTTTAACTAAACCGCCTTAACCCCAGATGACATCTACAATATGACGTCGTTTGAAATGTGCTCATCTTTTTGTAGATACTAACAATTAAATCATCATCAAATCTATCTTTCCATTTCAGACAACTTGTCCGTATTGCATTATTAAGACATTGGTTACAAAACTTTATTGAGACAGTTTGAGAATCATTCAAATAACCAACCTATCAATCAAATTTAATTAGTTTACAAATATGTCAAAAGTTAAAACAAGAGTTTTGAAAATTGTAACATCATTGAATCATCTCACCTTCTGTATCTGTTATCGTATCACTTAGATTGATGTTACTGTAAGCTTTTCTGTCTGATTGTTCAGCTGAAGAAAGAAAACATTTATAAGAAGGAAAACTGGTGGTTACATTAAATATTATTTTGGGGGAAAATTACATTTCTCTTCTATAATAGGCTGTAGATTTCAATTTTATCTGTAAATTTGACATTTTAGTCAACATATCTTACTGTGTCAGTATATTCGTCATCTATAAGACACTTATTTGCCCGGTTAAGGTTAAAGTGAAGAATTCAGATCCATAGGGTTTCCACTTTAGTAACAGAGAAATGTCTATGTGATTAAAAGATATTTCCATGTAGAACAGTGCCTACGAACTTAAAATTACAGTACTTTACAAGGCTTTTTTTATTGAGGCTTCATCTATTATTATTCTCTTGGGTTCTATGTGGAATATAGGGCTTCAACAACACATCCCCACTTTCTTCTATTTTCTGCCGTCCTTTTCAGCTCGGTCCACGATTGCCCATATTCTCTCATCTCCTCTTCGCACGATCTCATCGAAGTCACCCTTGTACCGAAGAACTACTCGTCGCTTCCTATTCGGATTCCACTGGAGCAACGGCCTGCATTGTCCGCAATGTCATTCGACGGCCTCCTCAACTTATGCCCGATCAATCCATCGTCACCTTCTCCTGAACAAACAGCTCTTGGCTGATTTGTTCCACTGCAAAGTTTCTTGGTACTAATTCTTTCTGGTCGGCATTTGATCTTCAGTACGGAGCAAAGGTAGTTGTTGATAAAAGTCTGCAACCTGTTGTAAATCCTTTCAGTGACACTCTTGCCGAATTTCTGATCTGTATAGAAGGACTGACTTCACATTTGCGTTAGAAATCGGAATCTTGTTCTTTATTCTAGTTGAGTGCAGAAGATTTCCAGACTGGTTCCAGATTGATGAAGGAGTACTTCAGAGGGAACTGTGCCTAATTACCATGAAACTTACTGTCATCATGCATTAGATTTAGCAGTCAAATATTCAAACTCAAAAGTATATTAAATCGTTAACGAAAAATACTGAAGAAACAAGATTAACTGCACTCAATAAATCCAGAAATACTTAAATTAAAAGGTTCAGTAAATTAACGCAACACCACTGGCCACAGACAGAGCGAAGTGTGTGATCACTCTGTCAATAACAGCATTAACCTCTGATGAAGTAAACGTATACTGGCAGTTTAAAAGCTGAGAATGCTATTCCTAGTGTTAAGGTGGCAATAACTTTAATAGACAAAACAACTTCTGTGCAATTCGAAGCACAATCTACATTGACACTGAAACATCAGAATAACGGTAAAAAGAATATATCAGAGCAGGGAACACCAGCTCTACAACTTTTGAGGAATGAAAAGAATGTAGTAATTGCCAAACTAGTCATGGGAAATTCAGTAATAGTTGTGACAAATCGGATTGTATTAACAAGGTCATTAACCATTTTTAAACGGATCAATAATAGGAGACTGGGAAGTCTCTAAGCACAGCTTCTCCTGCTGACAAATATAATGACTAATTTCTATTGTTATATTTACTGTCCAAGGTCATCATTACGAAGGTGAACTAGCCTCATTTATCTGGCTAGCTTGGTCTCTACTCAAGGTAATGGATTTGTGGAAAAATTCTGTGAATTCTTCCGAATTGAATATAATAAATACAATACGAAACTGTTTAGTTCTATTAAAAAGTGAAGCGTTACCGTGGCAACCGTTTAACGTGCCTGCCTACACTGCTGATGATTTCATACAGACCGTTATTTTAAAATGTAATCATTGACTAAGTCTGTGAGTCGGTGGCACAGTGGCTAGGACTCTCGCCAACCATGCACATGGCCCGAGGTTCGATCCTCTCCCGACGCACACCTGATATCAATGGTCGGCCTGCAAAATTTGGGCTACCGATATCCATGCTGAAAATTCCATACTTATACCAAAAATACAGTGTGGAATTAAGCTGTAAATGAAAAATTAAAAATTAAAATTAAAAATTAAATTAAGATACAACAGTGTTCTCCATTTCGCGTTTGTAACAGCAAGTCCGATATCAAGCAGCAGCATAGTTGCCAATAAACCGTTTGAATTCCACTGTGATTTTCAAGTCTTCACCACAGTTCTTCTCATGTTTTTAATAGAGATGAGATTTTTATAACACTTTCATTACCTAACTGTAACACTTACCAAGATTTCCATAGGCTTTCCTTGCACTAGGTGGTAAACCAAAGTCGAACAACTTTATGGTGTTATTTTCATTACCGTTTTGGCCCCCCGAACTGAATTCTGTAAGGATATGAAATTAGTCAAACGAAAAGATGAAAAATAAACTTTAGGAGGCAGATTATCTGAATTAATATTCAATTAATTGAAAGAAGAGGTTTAGATTTCTCCAAAAGATGACTTGAAGTACTAACATATTAGGAGTTTATAAGTTCAAATTTTATGTGACACTTTAATGGTTACTAAAAGAATAATGGAGAGTATGCATCCTTATACAATGCCATCAAGCTTATATTTATCATGCTCAATGTTTTCTTATTGTTATCCTGGCCACAATTCATTAATATTGTTTAAAACATTCAGTTAATGTACTATTAGTGATATTTTGCATTCTGGATATATTAACAGAGGATTGTCTTTAACATAAATAGCGTGTTTTTATTAATAGCTTGATTCCACACCGTATTTTTGGTTCATGTATAGAGTTTTCAGCATGTGATATCGATAGCCCAAATTTTTCGGGCCAAATATTGATATCAGGTGTGCGTCAGCAAGAGATTGGACCCCGGACCATGTGCATGGTTGGCGAGAGTCCTAACCACTGTGCCACCAACGGTGATTCAGTAGTAAAATGCTCGCCGACTATGTAGTAACCAGAGATTCGGTCCCTGGCTGATGCATTCCTTAACCTCGTTCAGCAGGCAGTAAGCCCGGTAGAGAGGGAACTGTTTGAATGTGGCTAGCAAACCCACCCTATAAAAATAAACACTACTGCTACCGAAACTTTAAAGCTGAAGCCTGTAGCCCTATGTCACACTCAGAACGCAGAAGAAAAAATATTTTAAAAATGCTAAAAAGAACCATTTTGCATTTATAGCTGAATAGCAGACAACATTTCAGTCTGATTCAGCAAAATCTTTCACTTGAGCGAATAGTATAAACATCTGACTAACTGAAATAACATTCAAGGGAACTTAAATGTGTGCTTTGTCCTCATAGTAACAAGATCAGAATTCCTCAGACTTTGGCTTTTTATTCCCAAAGAATTTGTCTACAACCCTTAAGATATTTTAGGACTCAGTGTTGTTATCGAAAATTGCATGAATCAGATCTATCCTGTATACTGCTAGATTTGTGGTGAGAGCGGGCTGTTAATCAAAAGTGGTGGACAGTAATTTACGTCAATGTTTATGTCCCCAATATTGGTCGTGAGAAAATTGAGAACAAAGGCTTTGCGTGAGCGGATACAGTCAACACATAGATGATTTGACATGCAAGAGACAGTCACAAGGAGATGCAAAATTAACTTTCTGTGAGAAACAACCACCAATGAGAAGACTGTGTTTTTCTGCTAACAATAATCTATAATATGTACATGAAAAAAATCCATAAATATGTGTTGATTTCCTTAATAGAGGATCTATTGCCTTGCCCTTGTCTTCCGTTGTTACAGATTGAGTATGCGAACCAATCACAGGTGAGAAACTCATGCCAATCTTTAGCTTCAAGTGGAAACCAAAATCTATCCACAATATGTTAATCCAACTTCTACCTGGAATGAATTTCATTAACACATTATTTAGTTAAAAAAATCCGTTTGCTTTACTGCTACCGAGGACTTTGTAATGAAGTTATTGGTCTTAAAGGAATAAAATTATCAAGAAAGTACTTTCACATCTATTCAGAATGACCAAATTCTGTTTTGGAATACACAGTTGAAAGCCGTTATAGTTGTCACGATTCATGATTAACATGAGGCTGTTTAATATGTATTAACTGTTGCTGACCAGTGATTGACTACACGGTGAATTTGTTTGAAATTCCAGGGAGACGTCAGGACCAATAAAGTTCACTTAGTCAAGTGTGAGGACGAATACTCACGGATAAAATTAGTTGGCTGATGCACTATGCACCGCGAATCGGTCTTATTAGCTGAATTATGAATGAGTTCACCTGATAACCTTAAATTCCTGGGTTCGACCCTTGCCTGAGGCATATGTGAATGGTGGTGAAAAGTTTCAAATAAACGATAAACAGCTATCAAGTTCTTTCTAGTTTTTAGTATTTCTCTAACTGACGTCAATTCATTATATAACTCGAAATCAGTCGATTCCCGGTAATTCAAACACCAAAAAATTAACCATTACTTGGTTCTAGAAGAAACACAATGGAAGTTTTGCAATTAAACCATCTTGTTCAAAGAACACAACCACACCCGAAGCATTCTCTCTATTGTTTCAAATAAAAGTGTATTTAAGTGTGCATCTCTACAGATGCTATATATTAGAGAAGAGAGAGGGAATGAATGGTAAAATTGACTTGCTGCTAACCCTCTCATATTATTTACTTTATTCTTTATTTCATTTAAACTGAATAACATCCATTCCAGCATTGAACAATCAAAGAAGCTCTCTGACTCGCTTTTCGTTATAATTGTTTCAAAAAGTAGAGAATATTTATTATTTATTTGATCTAAGTATTTGTGTTTAGTCAAAACAGAGGGTTCCTCAGTTAATCAATTTTATAAGAACACTGAGATAATACCTCTTCTTCAATGCATATATATCTACTGCATACTTTATTATACTTACTATTATTGCTAGTAATACTACTATTATTATTATTGCCATTATCATTAATTTTATTCTTAATCGCTCGCTGTCTTGTATGATATTCTAGATATATAAATTCAGTTATCACGGAGTGTCTTTAAACGAACTTATACTATATAAGTGATATTATCATTCATATTTACGAATATTAATATTACTAATAACATTATTGACATCAATCCACAGGTAGTAAGTAACTTTTATTGGCATCCGATAGAACATATCTCAGTGTATATATGCTGTTTAGCTGAGATGTACACTTCTTTGCATTTGTGTGTGTGTGTGTATATACTCACACGGGTGTGTGTGTGTGTGTGTGTGGATATAGATGAGCTCAAGAATATGAACGTCTACTCAACTCTTGATTCGTATATTATATTTTCACCTAACTAACTTACTAAATGGCTTTTGAGACAAACAATACCAAATCGATATTATATGTAGTATTAATAATAATAATAATAGTGTAATTGCACCAAAATGTTTTTTTTTAAATTGTTTTGATGAAAAAGAATATGAGTTTAATTTATTGATTAGTAAATAGTATGAAGTAATAATTTAAATAAATGTTTGACTTTCATTTTTTAGAATTAAAATTCATTCTAAAGTTTTGGTTAGTTCAATTTTTATTTGTTCATAAAAAGGGTATAGTATTACAGTCTATTGTACGAGAGACATGAATGTGGTGATTAATATTATTATTATTAGGCTTATCGACGTCACTTTTAGGTGTGAAAGGATAGTTCAAGGGTGGGTAGAGTTAGTGATAGTGAAACGTTTACCACTTGTCACATATAACCATTATGTCTTTTGTCTGTGGAAACTATACATTTACTTTGTACAGCACGCTGCACTTTCTTTCTAGAATCATTCAAAAAACGTATTCATTATATCTTTAAATCAGTCGCTAGCTGTAATGAAATACTAACACTGAGTGGCTAAATTGACTACTAGTCGGTCTAATTTCATCTTGAAGTAAACTCTCAACTGAAAACATTAATAAAGTTTCTTTAACCAAGATTATTTCAATCTTTATTGAAAGACTAATGCTAAAAGGTGAAGGTATGACTCATTGATGAATCTTGACAAAAAACAGAGGCAGTTCTAGAGCCTCCTGACTACTGACATATAATGCCAAATGAGAAGAAAACTACTGATCTTTTTTGAGAATTTGATGAATACAATCCACGCAACATCAGTAAGAACAAACTCTTAACCATAAATATACTGCAGAAAAACCTGTGCCAGTGAGTTAATTTATCTAAAACTACTTTGATTGGACCCTAGTAACTAGTGTGATGTGTCCAGTCCTCTCTTTGATGCAGGCTGAATTCTATCAGTCAGGTTTGCAATTCGGGCACCAGTCTAGGGAGCTTGCCATGACGGTGCACATTGATTTGATGATGTTAGATGGTTGGATGGCAACGTTTCTGACTGCAGCACTGATTGATGGGGGGGGGGGTTCAAATCTCAGAAGGGACATGAATTGTTCCTTGAAGGTTGCAAATATGCCTTGCTGACTGATGAGTGTCAACTAGCACGAAAGCCAGGTCGAAGGCTTCCTGCGGATTGACTTCAACCATCTAATATTATCGAAAATTACTTAGCTAATTACTGTATTTTGTCCAATTCAAAGCAAGATATCCTTTATATGTCATCGTGTCGCCCAACTCTATTTACACAAAACAGAATATTTTATTGAATAAGTGCACTATATGCAACATTTACACTGAGATTTTCAAGGATGCATAAATAGTTTATATTTTAAAGTTCATCTTTGACTTCTCTTACAAAAAATATGGTTTTTGTTCAGTTGACATATGATCTTCGATCGAAATGTAATATATATATTTATCTTAGGTGGTGTGCAGTTTAAAGTACGTTAAATGCTCAATGACTTCTTCATGAGTTAATTGAATATAGTACACTGATATACCATCATAAGAAATAGTATATTATCATTTGTACAGCTTTGTGAGTTAGTTTCAGCTAGTGAAATCTTACACATCACGAAAATGCAGACTACTGAATTCAACACAGAGAGAGTGAGAGAGAGTAACGTATTTATCATAGAACGATTATTGATTAAATGGATGATATACACCTGAATACACTGAATGAACGAATCAGTTCCTATGAAGACGCCAAAAGAGACTTCTAGTACATGTTGAGAAAAAGAACTGTCAGTTTATTTTATCAATGTAACTGAGGGAAAATGTAGCGTATTAATCGAAAAGCTGATGATATTTGTCTGATTCTCCACTGACTGAGAGATATGCAAATGAAAAGCAACAAGTTGGCAGAAGAAGCATCCGTAGAAGATAGACCTTCAGGTGAACATCGATAGAGAAAGCAGTGGTGATGAAGATTCCTGGCCAACAGCAACGGCAACAACAACAGACAACAATCAGCACAAATGGGAGGGACCTGAAAGAAGCAACCTCCTCTGCC